ATACCAGAAGTGTGAGTTCCAGATGCAGCATGCAACAGAGACTATGCAACATCCATCTGCTGCGTCCAACAACATGCTTTACCAACTGAGTGAACTCTGCATCATTTTTTCCTGCCTTGAAAGATTGCCATGACAGATGGAGCCCAAATCATGGTCTAAATGAACTCAATAAAGTTATGGAGGGGTGGTCCATAGATTAAGGGAAATAGTGAGATGTGAGCATGACATGAATGGTATGGAATAAGGGGTGGAGAATGATTCCTCCCCCGAAGTGGGCCAAAGCCCAGTCAAATCCTGCTTCCAGTGGGTGGTCGGTGGGGCTGGGGTTTTGCCACTGCCAGGTCGCTGCCATGAGCCTACAGAGGATGGCCATGGCCACCTTCCTCTACATCAAGGTCTTCCTCGTCCTCCTGCACTGCATCCCCTTCGTCTCGGCGGCCAGATGGCAGAAGACAGAAGATCTTCAAGTTGTGCCTGGTGGGCTTGGCCGTGGCCTACAGCAACACTGTCTTCATTGTCCTCATTGTCATCCTCGTCCTCCTGCTCTTCAACGCCATCTACGAGACCCTCCAACGAGGCCTTTCGCAAGCAGGTGGAAGGCACCAGCCAAGCCACGAAACGCTACGTGGAGGACAATGACACACTGAGGAAGTAGTTGCAGGAATCAGGGGGGCAGAGGCGCGTGACTGGTGCGGGACAAGAATGAGACACTGAAGGCGAAGGTGGAGAAGCTAAAGGAGGAGCTGGCGGCCAGCAAGTGCATGCTGGAGAAGGCAGAGAATGAGAGGCTGCCATGGGAATACGACCGGCTGCTGGACTAGCACACCCCACTGCAGGCTGCCAACGACAGTCCTCGGGACAAGAAGGAGTGAGACCAGGCCCCCCCAGCCACACCCACTGGACCAGGCCATTCCCCCTGCCCCCCCCACTTGGGGGGCAGGACTCACACAAGGTGTTTTCGGGGCTCCCAATCCCCCATCCCTACACCCACATCTGTGTCGGAGACCTTCTGCCCCGGGGCAGCCCCCGGGGGGAGCGGGGGGGTCCAAACCCCACCTCAAAGGGCCTGAGCCCCATTTTGGGGGGTCTGGGCACCCCCTTTGACCCCTTCTTCAGCTTCTGCTTCAATAAAGATGTGCGATTGCCCCTAAATCAATTTTAGGCACTGAACTGTAGTGACTTTTCAAGTTATCTGGCTTTTTCTTAAAGCCAACTTGTTCTGCACATATCAAGCTGTTATCTTATGAATGTCACGGGTAAAGCTGAGACAGAGTTAACTTTCTTCATAATACCTAGGAAGAGGCTGTGTTTTGGATTTGTGCTCAGAAGAAAGCTGATAAAAAGTGATGTTTACGCGGCTGTCAAGGTCATAGAATCATAGAATGGCCTGGGTTGAAAAGGACCTTAAAGATCACCTAGTTTCAACCCCCCTGCTGTGGGCAGGGTTGCCAACCACTAGAGCAGCCTGCCCAGGGCCCCATGCAGCCTGGTCTCGAGTGCCTCTAGGGATGGGGCATCCACAGCTTCTCTGGGCAACCTGTGCCAGTGCCTCACCACCCTCTAAGTGAAACATTTCTGCCTAATATCCAACCTAAAACTTCCCTCTTTCAGTTTAAAACCATTCCCCCTCATCCTGTCACTATCAACCCCTGTAAATCGTCACTTCCCCTTCTGTTTATAGGCTCCCTTCAAGCACTGGAAGGCCGCAAAGAGGTCTCCCCGGAGCCTTCTCTTCTCCAAGCTAAACAAGACCAGTTCCCTCCACCTTTCTTCATAGGAGAGGTGCTCCAGCCCTCTGATCATCTTTGTGGCCCTCCTCTGGACTCATTCCAAGAGCTCCACATCTTTCTTGTGCTAGGGACCCCAGGCCTGGACACAGTACTCCAGATGGGGTCTCACAAGAGCAGAGTAGAGGGGGAGAATCACCTCCCTCTCCCTGCTGCCCACCCCTTTTTTAATGCAGCCCAGGACATATAGTTGGCCTTCCGGGCTGCAAGTGCTCACTGCTGGCTGATGTCCAATTTCAGTCTGGGTCCTGGTTTTGTCTGGCATAGAGTTAATTTTCTTCCTAGTAGCTGGTATAGTACTGTGTTTTGGATTTGGGATGACAATTATGTTAATAACACATTGATGTTTTAGTTGTTGCTGAGAAGTGCTTACACAAAGTCAAGGACTTTTCATCTTTTCATACCACCCTGCCAGCGAGGAGGCTGGGGATGCACAAGAAGCTGGGAGGGGACACAGGTGGAACAGCTGACCCAAACTAGTAAAAAGGACATTCTATACCGTATGACGTCATGCTGAACATGCTGAACAATAGAACTGGGGGGAGCTGTCTGGGAGGCACAGCAGCTGCTGGGGGATTGGCTGCGCATCGGTCAGCGGGTGGTAAGCATTGTGATGCATTGTGCATCACTTTTTCTGAATATCCTTTTATCATTATTATTATTTGTCCCTTCATTTTCTAAACTGTCTTTATCTCAACCCATGAGTTTTAATTTTTTTCCAATTCTCTCCCCTCATCCCAATGTGGAAGGGGGGCAAAGTGAGTGAACAGCTGTGTGGTGTTTACAGCGACAGATTAAACCACAACAGTCTGTAAAGCCAATTAAAATGTATCTCAGGTAGGCATATCTGATAAAACACTATACTTCGCCTTGGATCATGTAAGCATTCCAAGAAGCAGGATACATGTCATGCTTACTAGAAGTCACCAAATAATTAAAGCCTATTAGGAAAAAAAACATGTGTTCTAATCTGAATAAAAGTATCTATATTAAAGGAAATCACACTAGAAGCTAAAAGATGCTACCTGCTTTGGGGGATAAAATACTGTTTGAGCATTACACCTAAACTGGTCTACTGTTTTTTGTGCCTAAAACATTACGGCTTCATCAAAAGATGGTATAAATTTTTTCTTAACCACCACAGAGCTCTATGGATGTAGCAAAGTATCTTCCTAAAAACAAAGATCAATTGAGCTCAGTCACTGTTTCATAAATTTTAGTGGCTGCAGTATGTACACTGGGATGTATAAAGTAAGCTTTGCAAAGTTACTTTTGAAGCATGGCAAAGAAGTCATGCTTGAACCTTAACACAGGGTAAAATATTCTGTAAAATTTCTGTTTTAAGTTAGATGTTCAGTTTCATACTCTTATTGTATCATGTGAGCCGCTTATCTTGGTGGCAGGATGAAAGGGAAAATAAACCAACAACTGTCATATTGTGAACAATTATGAATAATTCAAAAAATATTTTGCAATGCTGCATTGTGTCAGTCGAGTTCTCTCTTTAAAATGTACAATAACTGTTATGGTAATTAGGTTAAATGTATATGATTCTTATGAGTAGTTGTGATTAATTTTAAAAGTTATGGCAGAAACTGAATTAATAGCTGTCAAGGCACAAAGTAGTGCAATGAATTGGAAATCAAGAGACCTATGTCCGTCTCTTGTTCTCAAGGCACTTCACATCATATATGTGTATAAAATTTTCTGTAAAATGAGGATAGTGATACTGCAGCCTTTTTGTAAATTGCTTTGTGATCTGGTCTGCAGTTGAAAAATGTTATATAAGCAGTATTACTCTAACCTCTGTTACTAATGTTAGCTACACTGCAGCTGTTGTAGTTATGATATTTGTACTTGTTCTACCAACTAATTAAATGCTTTTCCTCTTGGTTGTATTTTTAAAAGGCAACTTTATTGGTTCCATTGTTTGTACCATGTTGAGCAACTTATCTGATCCCTGGTTTGTAGCACATATACACATATACACATATACACATATACATGCACATGCAGATATATATATATGTTTGTATGCATGTATGCATATATATATACACACAAATATATTATGAATACTTGCGTGAAAGCCTTGTACCATCTTTTGAGGATAACGTGTAGGAGGACTACTTCTTCTTCACTTATTTTCTATTATAAGGCCATATTGCTACACTTTTATTCATATTTAGTACTACCTCATCATTGGTCTTATCAGAGACCCACATACCATTTTGAAAATGTTCAACAATTTTATCAAGTATAACGCCATCTAAGTGACACTTTTAGTTATTAACAAAATGCTGTTTTAACACATAATTTCTACTGCTTTCTGGAAATTAAACTTAAAAAATAAGCAAATCTTGTATTTGTTTTTGTTTTATTTCTAAGTTGTGATTGTGTAGTTCAACTAAAATTAGACAAACAAAGTGGTAAGCAAGAATCTGGCAGTTGCTTTATGTGCCCCCAGAGTTTTCTTCAAAGCAAGAACAAAGTGCTTCATTGCTTCTTTCCAAAGTGCATAATAAGAAAAACACTTATAATGGTTCATTGCACTTAACTTCAGAAAAATGTCAGATCTTCTAAAGTGAACCTCAGATTTGTTCCATTAGAACAGCTATGTTTGGGGTTTTTTTGTTGTTCTTGTTTTGATTTTCCAGCTCTAAATTGTTTTAGCTAGTGAGAAGTGACATAAATTTTGAGTAATTAGTAGACTTAGTCAAATGATTGTGGTGAATTTTACTTTTTTTTCCCAATAATTTTAACAAATTCCTGAGTGAATGAAACAACTATTTTTTTATATATAAAAATTGTAAAATATTACTAAAGTTTCAGTTGAATCGGTTTACCAAAAGATAGAGGTTCTAAGATCACAGTGCCTCCAATTTTACAATGACATTTAATTGCGAAATTGGTTATATTGATAAAGTCTCCTCCTACTTTTTGTCATCACATTTGCACACAGCTGTTTCAGAAGCCAAATGGTCGTCTGCTTACTTGCTGGGACATTGATGTAACACTAATAAAATTCCTGTTGATTTCAGGCAGAAGTATATCTAGAGATTTGTGTAAAGGCTCTCCATTGAATTTTTATATTTTCCCTCTAAACCCAGCCAAGGCTTCTGTATTGGCTTTGAAGAGACATGAATTATTCCACTTAACAATGTCATGCCACCGGTTCTGAAAAAAGTATTGCAATATTATCAAGTTCCACATCTTCAAAAATATTGTTTTCCCATTATTATATTTTTCATCCCCTTTCAATTACCTTAATCTTTCCACTTTGATTTATCTGAGGGCTTAAAACCTGTGCCTCCTCAGCAAATAGCTGCTTTCCACAGAGGTATGGGATGCCCACCACTGCAACTTTCCTTCTTGGGACTCACAGACTCTTACTACCACTCCCTGCATAACAATACTCCTTTTCTGCAATATTTTACGAAGAAGATACCCCTGAATTGGAGAGATATGGGTTTGATGGATGGACTGTTAGATGGATAAGGAAATTGGCTGGAAGGCTGTGTCCAAAGAATCATTACAGTCAATGGCTCAATGTCTAAAGGGACATAAATAATGAGTGATATCCCTCAAGGGTCTGTACTGGATCCAGTACTATTTAATACTTCAGCAATGACAGAAACAGTGGGACTGAGTGCACTCTCAGCAAGTTTGTGGATGACACCAAACTGAGTGGTGCATTTGATTCGCTAGATGGAAAGGATGCCATCCTGAGGGAACTTGATAGGCTTGAGGAGTGCACCCCTGCAAACATCATGAAGTTCAGCAAGGCCAAGTGCAAGGTCCTGCATGTGGGTTGAGGCAATCACCAGGATCAATGCAGACTGGGAGATGAATGGATTGAAAGCAGCCCTGTGGAGAAAGACTAGAGGATGCTGGTGGATGAAAAATTGGACACTGAGCTGGTAATGTGTGGTTGCAGCCCAAAGAGCCAGTCATGTCCTGGGTTGACTAAAAAGTGGTATGGTAATCAGGTTGAAGGAAGTGATTCTCCCTCTCTACTCTGCTCTCATGAGACCCCACCTGGATCATCCAGCTTCAGGACCCCCAGTACATGACAGACATGGACC